CAGGCAAGCTCATGGACCAGGCAAGCTCCTCGACCAGGCAAGCTCCTAAACCAGGCAAGCTTCCGAACCAAGCAAGCTCCTGGACCAGGCAAACTCGTGGACCAGGCACGCTCCTGGACCAGGCAAGCTCCTGGACCAGACAAGCTCTTGGACCAGGCATGCTCCTGGACCAGGCACGCTCCAAGACTAGGCAAGCTCCTGGACCAGGCAAGCTCCTCGACCAGGCAAGCTCCTGGACCAGGCAAGATCCTAGACCAGGCAAGCTCCTGGACCAGGCAAGCTCCTGGACCAAGCAAGCTCTTGGACCAGGCACGCTCCTTGATCTTGCATGCTCTTGGACCAGGCACGCTCCTGGACGAGGCAAGCTCCTAGACGAGGCACGCTCGTGGACCAGGCACGATCTTGGACCAGAAAAACTCTTGGACCAGGCAAGCTGCCAGAGAATGCAAGCTCTAGGACTAGGCACACTCCTTGACCACGCAAGCTCTTGGACCAGGCAAGCCACTGGACCAGGCAAGCTCTTGGACCAGGCACGCTCCTGGACGAGGCAAGCTCCTAGACAAGGCACGCTCGTGGACCAGGCACGATCTTGGACCAGAAAAACTCTTGGACCAGGCAAGCTGTCGAACAATGAAAGCTCTTGGACTAGGCACGCTTCTTGACCACGCAAGCTCTTGGATCAGGCAAGCTTCTGGACCAAGGAGATCGTGGACCAGGCAAGCTCCTGGACCAGTCAAGCTCCTGGACCAGGCAAGCTCCTTGACCATGAAAGCTCTTGGACTAGACACGCTCGTGGACCAGACACGCTACTGGACCAGGCAAGCTCTTGGACCACGCACGCTTGTGGACCAGGCAAGCTCTGGGACCAGGCAAGCTCCTGGATCAGGCAAGCTCTTGGACCTGGCACGCTCGTGGACCAAGCACGCTCCTTGACCAGGCAAGCTTCAGGATGCGGCAAGCTCCTAGACCAAGCAAGCTCTTGGACCAGGAACGCTCCTGGACCAGGCAAGCTCTTGGACAAGGCACTCTTCTGGACCAAAAAAGCTCCTGGACCACGCAAGCTCCTGGACCACGCAAGCTCTTGGACCAGGCACGCTCCTCGACTAGGCAAGCTCTTGGACCAGGCACGCTTCTGGACCAAGCAAGCTTCTAGACCAGGCAAGCTCCTGGACCAGGCACGGTTTTGGACCAGGCAAGCTCCTGGACTAGGCAAGCTCCTGGACCAGGCAAGCTCCTGGACGAGGCAAGCTGCTAGACAAGGCAAGCTCCTGGACCATGCAAGCTCTTGGACTAGGCAAGCTTCTGGACCAGGCAAGCTCCTGGACCAGGCAAGCTCCTGGACCAGGATAGCTCCTGGACCAGGCAAGCTCCTGGACCACGCAAGCTCTTAGACCAGGCAAGCTCTTGGACCAGGCAAGCTCCTGGACCAGGCAAGCTCCTGGACCAGGCAAGCTCCTGGACCACGCAAGATCTTGGACCAGGCAAGCTCTTGGACGAGGCAAGCTTTTGGACCAGGCAAGCTCCTGGATTACCCAAGCTCTTGGACCAGGCACGCTCCTGGACCAGGCAAGCTCTTGGACGAGGCAGGCTTCCGGACCAAGCTCTTGGACCAGGCAAGCTCCTGGACCAGGCAAGCTCCTCGACCAGGCACGCTCGTGGACCATGCACGCTCCTGGACCAGGCAAGCTCTTGGACCAGGCAGGTTCGTGGACCAAGCAAGCTCCTGGACCAGGCAAGCTCCCGTACAAAGCAAGCTCCTGGACCAGGCAAGCTCTTGGATCAGGCAGGCTCGTGGACCAAGCAAGCTCCTAGACCAAGCAAGCTCCTGGACCAGGCAAGCTCTTGGACCAGGCAAGCTCCTGGACCAGGCAAGCTCCTGTACCAGGCAGCTCATGGACCATGCATGCTCTTGGACCAGGCAAGCTCATGGACCAGGAAGGCTCGTGGACCAAGCAAGCTCCTGGACCAGGCAAGCTCCCCGACCAGCCAAGCTCCTTTACCAGGCAAGCTCCTGGACCAGGCAAGCTCCTAGACGAGGCACGCTCGTGGACCATGTACGCTCCTGGACCAGTCAAGCTCTTGGACCAGGCAGGTTCGTGGACCAGGCAGGCTCCTGGACCACGCAAGCTCCTTGACCAGGCAAGCTCCTGGACCAGGCTCGCTCGTGGACCAGGCACACTCCTGGACCAGACACGCTCTTGGACCAGGCAAGCTCGTGGATCGGGCACGCTCCTGGACCAGGCAAGCTCCTAGACCAAGCAAGCTCCTGGACCAGGCACACTCTTGGACCAGGAAAGCTCCCGGACCAGGCAAGCTCCTGGACGAGGCAAGCTAACGGACCAAAAAAGCTCTTGGACAAGGCAAGCTTCTGGACCAGGCACGCTCCTGGAACAGGCAAGCTCCTAGACCTGGCAAGCTCCTAGACCAAGATAGCTCCTGGACCACGCTTGCTCCTGGACCAGGCACGATCCTGGACCATGCAAGCTCCTAGACCAGGCAAGCTCCTGGACCAGATAAGCTTCTGGACTAGGCAAGCTCTTGGACCAGGCAAGCTCCTAGACCAAGCAAGCTCCTAGACCAGGCAAGCTCAAAGACCAGGCATGCTCATGGACCACGCAAGCTCTTGACCAGGCAAGCTCTTGACCAGGCAAGCTCTTGGCCAGGCAAGCTCTTGACCAGGCAAGCTCTTGACCAGGCAAGCTATTGACCAGGCAAGCTCCTTGACAAGGCACGCTCCTGGACCGGGCAAGCTCCTAGACCAGGCAAGCTCTTAGACTAGGCACGCTCCTAGACCAGGCAAGCTCTTGGACCAGGCAGGCTTCTGGACCAAGCAAGCTCCTGGACCAGGCACACTTCTAGACTAGGCACGCTCCTGGACAAGGCAAGCTCCTGGACCAGGCAAGCTCCTGGACCACGCAAGCTCCGAGACCAGGCAAGCTCCTGGACCAGGCACGCTCCTAGACCAGGCATGCTCTTGACCAGGCAAGCTCTCGACCACGCAAGCTCTTGACCAGGCAAGCTCTTGACCAGGCAAGCTATAGACCAGGCAAGCTCCTGGACCAGGCACGCTCCTAGACCAGGCAAGCTCCTACACCAGGCAAGCTCTTGGACTAGGCACGCTCCTAGACCACGCAAGCTCTTGGACCAGGCACACTTCTGGACCAAGCAAGCTCCTGGACCAGGCACACTTCTAGACTAGGCACGCTCGTGGACAAGGCAAGCTCCTTGACCAGGCAAGCTCCTGGACCATGCAAGCTCCGAGACCAGGCAAGCTCCTGGACCAGGCACGCTCATGGACCAGGCAAGCTCCTAGACCAGGCAAGCTCTTGGACTAGGCACGCTCCTAGACCACGCAAGCTCTTGGACCAGGCAGGCTTTTGGACCAAGCAAGCTCCTGGACCAAACAAGCTTCTGGAGTAGGCAAGCTCCTGGACCAAGCTCGCTCGTGGACGAGGCGCGCTCCAAGACCACGCACGCTTTTGGACCAGGCAAGCTCGTGGACCAGGCACGCTCTTGGACCTGGCAAGCTCCTAGACCAAGCAAGCTCATGGACCAGGTAAGCTCGTGGACCAGGCACGCTCCTGGACCAGGCAAGCTCCTAGACCAGGCAAGCTCGTGGACCACGCAAGATCTTGGACGAGGCACGCTATTGGACCAGGCAAGCTCTTGGACCAGGCAGGCTTCAGGACCAAGCTAGCTCCTGGACCAGGCAAGCTCGTGGACCAGGCAAGCTTCTGGACCAGGCAAGCTCTTGGACGAGGCACGCTCGTGGACCAGACAAGCTCTTGGACCAGGCAAGCTCCTGGACCAGTCAAGCTCTTGGAACATGCAAGCTCCTGAACCAGGCAAGCTCCTGGACTAGGCAAGCTCTTGGACCAGGAAAGCTCCTGGACCAGGAAAGCTCTTGGACCAGGCAAGCTCCTGGACCAGGCAAGCTAATGGACCAAGAAAGTTCCTGGACAAGGCAAGCTCATGGACCAAACACGCTCTTGGAACACGCAAGCTCCTGTACCAGGTACGCTCCTGGACCAGGCAAGCTCCTGGACCAGGCAAGCTCGTGGACCAGGTAAGCTCCTCGACCAAGCAAACTCGTGGACCTGGCACGCTCCTGGACCAGGCAAGCTCCTAGACCAGGCAAGCTCCTGGACCAGGCAAGCTCCTGGACCAGGCAAGCTCCTGGACCACGCAAGCTCTTGGACCAGGCAAACTCTTGGACTAGGCAAGCTCTTGGACCAGGCAAGCTCCTGGACCAGGCAAGCTCCTTGACCAGGCAAGCTCCTTGAAGAGGCAAGCTCGTGGACCAGGCACACTCCTGGACCAGGCAAGCTCCTAGACCAGGCAAGCTCTTGGACTAGGCACGCTCCTGAACCAGGCAAGCTCTTGGACTAGGCAAGCTTCTGGAACAAGCAAGCTCTTGGACCAGGCACACTCCTGGACCAGGCACGCTCCTAGACCAGGCAAGCTGCTGGACCAGGCAAGCTCTTCGACAAGGCAAGCTTCTGGACCAAGCACGCTACTGGACGAGGCAAGCTCCTAGACCAGGCAAGCTCTTGGACTGGGCACGCTCCTGAACCAGGCAAGCTCTTGGACCAGGCAAGCTTCTGGACCAAGCAAGCTCCTGGACCAGGCGCAAACCAGGACCAGGCACGCTCCTGGGCAAGGCAAGCTCCTGGACTAGGCAAGCTCCTGGACAAGGCAAGCTTCTGGACCAGGCAAGCTCCTGGTCTAGGCAAGCTCCTGGACATGGACGTGGACGTGGACATGGACGTGGACATGGACGTGGACGTGGACATGGACGTGGACATGGACGTGGACGTGGACATGGACGTGGACGTGGACGTAAACCTGGACGTGGACGTGGACATGGACGTGGACGTTGACGTGGACGTGGACATGGACGTGGATGTGGACGTAGAGGTGGACGTGGACATGGACGTGGACGTGGACGTGGACGTGGATGTGGACGTGGACGTCGACGTGAACGTGGAGTGGATATGGACATGGACGTGGACATGGACGTGGACATGGACGTGAAAATGGACATGGACGTGGACGTGGACGTGGACTTGGACGCGGACATTGTCGTGGACGTGGACGTGGACGTGGACATTGTCGTGGACGTGGACGTAGACGTGGACGTGGACGTGGTCGTGGACGTGGACGTGGACGTGGACATAGACGTGGACGTGGACGTGGACGTGGACGTAGACGTGGACATGGACGTGGACGTGGACGTGGACGTGGACATGGACGTGGACGTGGACATGGATGTGGACGTGGACGTGGACATGGACGTGGATAGGGACGTGGACGTGGACGTGGACGTGGACGTAGACGTGGAGGACTTGGACGTGGACATGGACGTGGACGTGGACGTGGACGTGGACATGGACGTAGAGGACTTTGACGTGGAGGACTTGGACGTGGACGAAGACGTGGACGTGGACGTGGACATGGACGTGGACGTGGACATGGACGTGGACATGGGCGTGGACATGGACATGGACGTGGACGTGGACGTGGACATGGACGTGGACATGGACGTGGACGTGGACATGGACATGGACGTGGACGTGGACGTGGACATGGACGTGGACATGGACGTGGACATGGACGTGGACGTGGACGTGGACGTGGACGTAGACGTGGAGGACTTGGACGTGGACATGGACGTGGACGTGGACGTGGACGTGGGCATGGACGTAGAGGACTTTGACGTGGAGGACTTGGACGTGGACGTGGACGTGGACGTGGACATGGACGTGGACGTGGACGTGGACATGGACGTGGACATGGACGTGGACATGGGCGTGGACATGGACATGGACGTGGACGTGGACGTGGACATGGAAGTGGACGTGGACGTGGACGTGGACATTGTCGTGGACGTGGACGTGGACGTGGACATTGTCGTGGACGTGGTCGTGGACGTGGACGTGGACGTGGACGTGGACGTGGAGGACTTGGACGTGGAGATGGACGTGGACATGGACGTGGACGTGGACGTGGACGTGGACATGGACGTGGACGTGGACGTGGACATAGACGTGGACGTGGACGTGGACGTGGACGTGTACGTAGACGTGGACGACTTGGACGTGGACGTGGACGTGTACGTGGACGTGGACGTGGACATAGACGTAGACGTGGAGGACTTGGACGTGGACATGGACGTGTAAGTGGACGTGGACGTGGAGGTGGACGTGGACGTGGACGTGGACGTGGACTTGGACGTTGACGTGGAGGTGGACGTGGACATGGACGTGGACGTGGTCGTGGACGTGGACGTGGACGTGGACGTAGACGTGGACATGGACGTGGAGGACGTGGACGTGGAGGACGTGGACGTGGACGTGGACGTGGACGTGGACGTGAACGTGGACATGGACGTCGGGGTGAACGTGGACGTGGACGTGGACGTGGACGTGGACATGGACGTGGACATGGACGTGGACGTGGACGTGGACGTGGACGTGGACGACTTGGACGTGGATGTGGACGTGGACATGGACGTGGACGTGGACGTGGACGTGGACGTGGACGTGGAGGACTTGGACGTGGACATGGACGTGGACGTGGACATGGACGTGGACGTGGACGTGGGGGTGGACGTGGACGTGGGGGTGGACGTGGACATGGACGTGGACGTGGACGTGGACGTGGACATGGACGTGGATGTAGACGTGGACGTGGACGTGGACGTGGAGGACTTGGACGTGGACATGGACGTGGACGGCGAATTCTCGCCACCATCAGGATGGCCGGCGCGCAGTACTCCACGGCGTCGTACATCACCCATGTCATGCAGGGACTCTCGAGCAGCTACAACCTCCTGAAGCGGCTGTCCATGGCGCCGAGCACGAGGGCGACGCTCAACGAGGACAACTTGACCTCGTACATCCTGCAGGACGAGGCGATGCAGGAGGCTGAGCGGTCGCAGGAACTCTTGGCGCAGGCCAACTTCGTCGCCCTGGCGAAGCAAGGAGGCCGACCAGGAGAGCGCGGACAGTCTGGTGGCGGCGGGAGCGGTGGCTGGAAGTCGGCCAAGGAGGTCGACAAAAAGAAGTCGACCAAGAACAGCGCTCGAGGAGGAGGAGGTCGACGACGGGAGTGCTGGCTGTGCGGCGACCCCGACCACCTCTCCTTCGAGCGCCCCGACCGCAGTGACTCCGACGACGACGACAAGGGCGGCCGTGGGAGGTCTGACAGTTGTCGTCCTCGTCGAGGCGGAAACCGGCCGCGCAAGGAGAAGCAGTCGACCAAGACGTCGACTTCGGCGAAGGACGCCGATTCCCCTGCTGGCGGCAAGGCGCGGGACGAAAGACGGCGTCGTGCTCGTTGGTCGGCGTTGTGGAGCCGACCGTCTCGCTGGCGCCAGAGGCTGGAGAGGACTTCTAGGCGGTGGCGGCAGCTGTGCAGGCAAACCCGGCGGTGGTCCTGCTCGACAGCGGTTGCTCCCACCACCTGATGGGGACGAAGGAAGCCTTCGTCGACCTGCAGCCGAGCGGCTTTATCAAGCACGTGCGCGGCTTCAATGGGGCGCTGCAGGATGTCCAGGGCCGCGGCACCGTCGCTCTGCAAGGGGAGGCCGGGAAGCAGGTGCTCATCCCCGACGTGCTGTACATCCCGGGTGTGCGGGCGAACTTGCTGTTGTCCGGCCAGCTGAAGGAGCACGGGGTGAAGCTGCAAGAGGACGGCGACGGGATGCTGCTCGTCTCGGCAACGGGAGAGGTTCTCGGACGGGCGACGTACTGCGGGCGTGTCCTCTGCACCGACCTGCGTCCCTGCCCAACGAGGTCGACGTCGCCCACGACGGAGGTCGTGGCTCTGCGGGCGATCGTCTCGAGGACGAAGTCGACGCCGGACCGTATGCATGCCCGGCTTGCACATGTCGGCATGGACACTATACGGAGCTCGGCGAAGAACGAGGTCGCCATTGGGCGACGGGCGCCGACTCCCCGTGTGTCTCGTGCGTCGGCGGGAAGCTGGCGCGGCACACCTTCCCCGACCAAGGCTCCGACGCCGACAATGTGCTGGCCGTCGTGCACATTGACCTGTGCGGGCCATTCCGCGTGGCTGCCAAGGATGGCAGCCTGTACTTCTTGCTGCTGAAGGACCGCAAGACCCGCTACGTGTGGGTGAAGCCGATCACCAAGAAGTCAGACGCGTTGCCGGTGTTCGTGCAGTGGCTGGCGGAGGCTGAGCGGCAGACGAAGAAGTCGGTGTTGATGCTGCGCTCTGACCGGGGAGGGGAGTTCCTCGGGAAGCAGTTCACCGACTTCGTGAACGGCAACGGGATCGTCCACGACCTGACCGGCCCATACACCCCGCAGCAGAACGGCATGGCGGAGCGGGAGATGAGGACGGTGGTGGAATCGGTGCGGACAATGCTGCTGCACATGGGCGTGCAGCACCATTGGTGGCACCTCGCTCTCCGGCAGGCCGTCTGGGTTCGCAACTGCCTTGAGAGGTCGACGCTGCCGCCGGGGACGACGCCGTACCAACTGCTGACCGGGAAGAATCCCGACTTGTCGCTGGCGCGGGTGTGGGGCTGCATGGCGCAGTTCTTGGTCCCCGAGCAGCAGCGTGGTGGGAAGCTGCAGCCGAAGGCAAAGTGGGGTCTGCACCTTGGCGTGTCGACGGCGAGCAAGGGCTGGGAGCTCCTCGACGTCGACACCGACCGGGTGGTCAACACGTCGGACGTGGTGTTCTACGAGGAGAGGTCGCTGGCCGAGTGGAAAACGGCGTACGGGTCGGTGTCCGGCTGCTCGTCGCTCACTCCGCCATCTGATACCTCGTCGGCGACGCTGCCACTGCTTACCGAGATCGGTGAGCTTCCTGTTCAGTACGTCGAGGACGTCCGCCCTCCTGCTCCTCCTCCTGCGACCCCCGCCCCTCCCCTCGTGGTCGATCTGCGTCGGCTGACCTCGGTGTCGGCCTCCGGCGATGAGGGGAGTAGTGCGATGCCGCCTTCGGCCAAATGCATCGCCGGTGGCCGACGCGACGAGCGGCAGGGCGACGTGGGCTTGCAGCCGACGTCGACAGGGGAGGAGCAGGTCGAGAAGCAGGTCGAAGACCAGCTGCCGACAAAGGGGCAGGCAGCAGTGACGCCGACTAAGGAGCAGTCGGCGACCAGGCAGTCGGCAGGGGAGCCGACCATAGGGGAGAAGTCGGCTGGGACGCCGGCTGAGGAGCAGCAGGACGTCGAGGGCAGCGGCAACGATGGAGGGGACGCCGAGGAGGTCCAGCCAGGACCACGACGTTCAGGCCGACTTCGGAGGCCGCATGACTTCTTCGTCCCCGCTACCTTCACCACGGTGTACGACGTGGACGATGAGGCCGGCGACCTGCTGTACGACGATGCCGAGGAGGATGCGGAGTTTCCAGAGCTCGACCCCGACATGTTAGCCGACCCCGAACACCGTTGGGACATCTCGACGATGACGGTGAAGGAGGCATTGGCGAGCTGGAAGGGCCCGGCGGTGAAGGCCGCCATGGAGGAGGAGATTCGCAGCCTCCTCAACATGGGAACGTGGGAGTTGGTCGAACGTCCACCGGGAGTGAACGTCATGAAGAACCGGTGGGTGTTGACGACGAAGTACCACGTCGACGACACCGTCGAGCGCGAGAAGGCGAGGCTGGTTGTGAAGGGCTTCACGCAGGTGTACGGCGCCGACTACGACGAGACGTTCGAGCCGGTGGGCAGCTACGTCACGCTGAGGATCTTCCTCAGCATCGTCGCCGTCCGCAACCTCAACCTGATGCAGCTCGACATGAAGAACGCCTTCTTGCAGAGCAAGCTCGACAGGGTGCTCTACATGTCCCAGCCGGACTACTTCAACGACGGGACTGGCCGGGTGTGCAAGCTGCTGAAGAGCTTGTACGGGCTAAAGCAGTCGCCGCTGCTGTGGTACTTGGCGCTCAACGACGTGCTGGTCGACGCCGGGTGGAAGAAGAGCTAGGTCGACGAGGCTCTCTACTGCAAGGTCCAAGAGGACGGAGTGGCCTGCTGGGTGCTGGTCTACGTCGACGACCTACTCGCCGCCAGCAGTAGCGCCGCGATGTTGAAGGAGTGGAAGGAGCTGCTGGAAGCCGCCTTCGAACTGCGTGAGATCTCGCCGGTGCAGAAGTACCTTGGGCTGGAGATCATCCGCGACAGGTCGGCGGGGAAGCTGTGGCTGCACCAGCAAGGCTACGCCGACAAACTGCGTCGGCGCTTCATCGATGAGGAGCAGACCGGGCGCACCCCGAAGACGCCGGTCTCGGTCGATGCCTACGCCGAGCTCACGTTCGATGACGAGGAGGCACAGGAGCGGGAGGAGGAGGAGTACCGGCAGAAGGTCGGCTCGCTGCAGTTCGCGGTGACGACGACGAGGCCGGACATCGCCTTCGCCTGCAGCAAGCTGGGGAGCGGCCTCACGGTGAGGAGCGACCAGCACTGGCGCGAGGTCGACCGCTGCCTCGCCTACCTCGCCAATACGCGCGACACCGCCGTGGAATTCGGCGAAGAACCTGAGTCGCTGGACCTGGTCGGCTACGTGGACGCCGACGACGCCGGTGACAAGCAGAACAGGACGAGCACGAGTGGCTACGTGTTCGTCTATGGAGGGGCTGCAATCTCCTGGTCGAGCCAGCGCATCAAGTGTGCGACGTTGTCGTCGACTGAGTCGGAGTACGTGGCAGCCACCGAAGCCGGCAAGGAAGGACGCCGACTTCGCTTCCTCCTTGCAGAGTTCCGGCAGCTGGATGCCGGGAAGCCGACCGTCCTTCGGGTGGACAACAAGTCGGCTATCACATTCGCCGAGGGCATGGGGTTGACGGGCAACCTCAAGCACATGGAGCGGCGACAGGCCTGGCTGCAGCACATGGTGAAGCGCGGGAAGTTCTCGCTGAGGTACATCCCGACCACTGAGCAGCCGGCCGACTTCCTGACGAAGGCGCTGCACTATCCGGCCTTCAACCGGTGCTCCGTTGCAATCGGCCAGGTGCGCTTGGTCGACGTGGGCGACGGCGACAACGACGTGCAGCACTAGGTGCCATGCCCTCTTGCATGGCTGGTGCGGTGAACGACGTGCGGTGTGTTGGGTGCACGTCGACGAGCTTTTCTCCGAGGAGTACTGCCGAGTGGACTTGAGGGGGACCAAGCGTGAACGCGGCAGGGGAGTGTCAACGGGAGTTGTATGTTGGCCCCGTCCACGCTTGGGCGGAGCCGACATCGTGGTCGGGTGTTAGGGGAGCAGCCGACCTGCAGCAGTGGGCGAGCTGGTCGACAAGGAGGTCGACCTGCACGGGGACCACTGCACGGGCGCCGACTTCAGGGTGGCGCCAACTTCGGGGAGGCCGACTTAGGCGTCGACCTGCGGAGGACGTTAACTTGTTGACGTCAACTTGGGAAGCCGACTTCGGTGGTCGGCTGAAGTGCTGGTCGACCTACGGGTGGTCGACTGAACCTGGTGGTCGACGAAGGAGGGGCCGACGTCGAGCAGTCGGGCGTCGAGCAGCCGGGCGTCAAGTAACATGGTCGTCGACCGAGGGGCATGGTCGACCCGGTGAGGTCGACAACGAGGTGGTCGTCGACTTGGGAGGTCGACGGACACGTACGGGAGTTGCTGGTCGATGTGGTTGCCCGAACGACCAGGTTACATGGGTGACGAAGTGCTGCGGAGGAGTGCGACGGTCGCCCAGGCGAAGTTGGCGAGACCGACCTCGGTGGTGGTATCACGAGGTCGTCGTGGCAGATCAGAGGTAGCCGTCAGCCCCAGGCTGACGTGGTGTATGTGTGTTGTGCAGGTGATGAGGCTCGGCATACCAATCGTTTGCACGCACCTGCAAAGCG